AGTAAAACATACCTATATACAAATAACATTATAATATAATACGTATACCTTTAAGACAAACATTTTAGTTCTTAAATAACATAAGGTATAATATTATAATATATTGTAAAATATACTAATTACATTATATTATATTATACTTATACACTCAATGATTATATTACAATATCGTATTATAATTTATAGTACATTATATTATTCGGTGTGTCAGTATGTTTGCAACCAGCCGTGGGCGGTTCGTTCTGTGGCCGGTTGGATTTTATTTTATGACGTAAATGAATATATTGCGTTGCGTCATCGAAAATACGTCAGTGTAGCAGCTGATAGATCGCTACTGTAATCGATATTTTTAAAATGTTCAACTCTTATAATATTGTTGTACAAATGTATATAAATAATATTATTTACGTAGGCATATGTAATTATTAACTAGGTATTTTTGCTGTGTTGGTAGAACAGAACAAATAATTATGTGTAATAACTAATAACACATAATTAGATCATTCGATTGAATGACAAGCCAATTACGACAATGGTTATGATAAGACTCTATACTATATACGATATAAAGAATAAACAATTTAGCATAATATTCAAATAAGGCCAGAAAATACGTTTTTAAAATATTATGAGACGACTTTAATATTTAATCAATAATTATAAAATGTCAGAAGAAAAATGTAAATTATTTTTTATATTTTTACCGTAGTGAAATATTTTCATGTTTAACAAACACAGTATTTTGATAAAATTGTTCAGCGACATTTTTTTCATGAACAATACAGTGCAAAATTATATGGACGCTATTTTAGATTCGAAGCGGAGCAATGTATATAATATTGATCTTACAATTAATAATGATGTGCGTTATTAATTTTTTTGTGTCTCATCAGTCATCACCATTATAGGACAATGCAAACTCTACAATTTCATAGTTTTATGATTATTACAGTTATAGTAGATACAATATTATAACTTAATTACGTCGATGTTATGCAAATGCCTTATAATCAGTTGAAAGTGAAATGTTGAAAAAACGTTAAACGTAATATTAAATTACTGCTCAAAAACTATTTAAAAGTAAGATGTAAGTTTATTTTTATTTTAATTTACATTATACATATTTTTCTCATTTTTGACACCTAGATAATAAATAACGTACAACGTGTACCTACCTAATAATTACCTACAATTAACTGTAAAAAGTATATACACAGTATATCACATAACTATAATAATACCATGATGTGTCATCGGCGTCTAATATTAAACATTTTTATAGGAAGAATTCACTTTGAATGCATTTTAATGGTTTATAAAAAAGTAAAACGGATTACATTTAAAAAAAAAAGTAGTCACGACCACGACAAGTTTTTAATACGAGTTTGAGAGATTAATAATGAGACGATAATATCTAATATAATATATTGTATAGGTACAAAGACGGCCTGTAATCTCGACGTTCCAAAACACGCTCAACAGTTTTAATATTTTTTTCATCGTAACACGTTTATTTAACATTTTTACTTAATAGGTAGGTTATATTGATGATCCTACCCACAGCAGACATTTGTTGGGTAGATATTTTATCGTATAAAAACTAAACAGGTCACTGGTCTGTTTGTACATTACAGTTTTTATTTTTATAATATTTCTAGGTACGTGTGTACATCACAGTGGTGAAAAATCATTGGTGTATCTACGATAAGTGTTATTGTTGCCAGTCCTTGTATCCAAACATTATTGCCATTTTAATAAATAGGTAATAAAACAATAAAAGTACTGAATATTATGCTAATACAATGTTTTTTTGAGATTCCTCGTGAGTTATTTTTACAGCAATGAAAAATGTTCGAATATCGATCGTCATGATTTTATTACAAACGTCTTAAAATGTTGAATTTCATCAAAATCACAAAGGTTGGCAGGCAATTAAAAAGTCATGCAGATTTTAATTGAGCACTTAATACAATATTCCTCATACATATTTCCAGCTGAAATTATAAGAAAAACTTGCTTAAAGCCACATACCATGTATGAGTGTTTGTAATTTAGATTTAAACGACATTGGATATTTAACCTTACCAAACCCTATACATGCTTATAACAATTTCTAATCCAACAATTTTTGTTATTTTGTTATACTTAAAAGAACAATTAATCGTAGATACTTGAAACATTAAACTATTATACTTTAATTGACATATACAAATTATTTTATTAATATAGTAATTTTCAATTTTTTCCATAGAAAATATATTCGTACATATATTTAAAACGTTTTCATAAGTTGTACTTTTAATAGAAATCTAAAAATTCCAAAAATACCTAATATTATCAACTACGAATTTTTTAGATTGAAGAGTAAGTGTTAACAAAACTACGAACATTTGTAAATTATACAATTAGTGTTAAAAAAGTATACGATTTTCAATTAAAATAGCTTATTAAGTTGAAAAATGTTACAATATTATTCATAATTTATATGCTCACGGTATTCAAAAAACATAAAAATACATTTGCACAGTGTTGTTAAAGACGTTTGAAGTTCTAATTTTGATAAAATTGTTTATTTTAATTAAATATATTTTTTCCTGTAATAATTTTAGTTCTTATATTGTAGTTCAAAAAAATATTTATAAAATTATAAAATTATGTATTAAAATTAAAGGATTATTATTTTCTATACTCAAGGAAATTTTGCTATTTATTAGTTATTACTAATAAAACAATATTTAGACTTCTTTAAATCTATTGATACCAAGAGTCCAAATATCTATTTATACTGTACGTTGGTACTGATCACTTATAATAACAATAATATTTTATACCTACTATTGATGTCCATAAAAAATTATCATAATTATTATTATTTTAGTATACCTATCTAAATACTATGATGTTTTATCTAGATTAAAACTTATCGTACAACTTATAGTAGGTATATAATATAAATAAATTATATAAAATATCCTTCAAAATAAACGCTGACACTTCGTCTCCGCTCAAAATTATTTTTCACATACAATGATTTATCATTTTTAATTTAACACATCCATTTTCTGCAGTAACGTTCTTATAATGACGAGGTGTGTTTAAATAAATCTACTATATAGCAGAGTGATAAGTAGACTCCCTGTTTTTTTAATTGTATAAAACTGCATTTTAATGCTGTAGTAAAAATATTGTAGTAATAGATTTTATAAATTATATTTTATTCCTAGGTAATATGTATCATAAAACATTTATAATTAGATAGTGGACCTGAGTCTTATATATTGTTATGTATAATATTGTATAGTTTACGTACTGGAAGCAGAGACGACTATTACATTCGAATTGTATTACGCACTTTCATACGTAGGTACCCAGAATTATCTCAAGAATTTGTATTTTTTAATATAAAAACTGATAAGTAAGCATTAAAAAATGGCAAAGTATGAAAGGAAATTTAATTTATGATACAAATATTAATGAATATTTAATACGATATAAATTATTTTAAATATAGATGGACAAGTAGGTAGTTGACAAGTATTTCATTTTTATAGATGTGTTTGATTTGAAATCAATGATAATTCATTGAATACAATACCAATTCTGAGTGGAGATGGTATATCATCCTATCATACTGTATGTTAATCAAAAATTGAAGAATATCAAATATTGTACAAAATTAAAAATCAAACGATTACAAAAACTCAATGAACTGTAAGGTTACCTTTAATTTTTTGATAAAAGTATGGAAACTTGTTGGCAATCTTCGACTAAAATTTCTAATGTTAGCTATAAAATAAAAATATATTATTAATTTTTAATTGAAAAATAATTTGCAAGTTTTCAAGATTTGGATGAATTTTGTCAAAATTTGAGCTTTAAATACATACAAAAAATATGAAATAGTCGTGCCTGTGTATCTTAAATATTTTTGAACTGCTTTAAAAAACACTTACGAGGATCTTTGCACTAAATTTTCAATCATTTTTACTAAGTAAAAACATTTTTATGCACTATAATTTCAAACAATTTTACAAAAAAATGTTAAGGCTATAAAGAGCTCGAAAAAAAGGGGAAATATTTTTAAAGAATTGTACAGTATATTTTAAAATCCTAATATAAATATTTGGTGAAAATGTCAAGTGATACTATTAGTTTTTGAACTACACCAAAAATATATAATACATTTTTAATTTATTTCGAGTAAAAATTTTCATCATTAATTAACTTTTTTTGTTTTTTTTCCGAAGCTAAATACTGAGAATTTTGATCTCCTGAATTTACCAACTAGATTCACTTTTCTATTAGACAAGATGCTTGTGTCGAAAATTGGAGAATTTTAACCACACCAAATGTTGATGACAGAAAAAAAGCACTCACGTATCAAGGTAATTTATACCTACAATACATTAATCTCTACGCTCAGAATCTAAAACTCTCGTTAAAATATAATACAAATAATAGAAATTAAAGCTCTTATAAATAAAAAAAAAATTGTTGTACTATGTTTTTTGGTAAAATATATTAAAATATGAAAAATATGCTCAATTCTCAAATAAAGACTAATGAAAAAAACATTCAAAATAGTATTTCGTATTTAAGCCAGTAATAACTAAAATCTAAAATTAGTTTATATTAAACTTAATTCGTTTAACGAAGTATTGAAGAAACAAGCAAATTCGTTACATTCACAGCTCTGGTGATTATAACCATGTACGGTACATGACGTCATAAGACAAACAAACCACCCTTAAACTTCTGACTGCCATGCGTTAAGTTAGGGTTAGCCAATCATGTTTTTAGTACAGGTGATGTACTCAAGTTTCTACAAAGGGTGGAGTCGTAGGTATAATTTCGCCATAGGATAGTTTGTATGAAAAATAAAGTCAAAAAAATCAACTACAGTAGTATAATATAATATGAAGTAGTATAATATAATATGATAGGTATAATAATAATAATAATGATTGATACATATTATATATAATATATTATAAGCAGATAATTGTGAAAAAACACCCTATTAGTTTTGAGCTTGATATAAGTACAAGTAAAACATGTTTAACAACATTATAATATAATATTTTGTACACATGGCAAAAATGTTAGTAGCATAATATCATTGAGTATTTGTGTATGTATTGTAAAATATACTAATATTACAATATAAACCTACTCAATGGACAATGATACTATTATTTTTATTTTATTACTTGTTGTGATGATAATATTATCTGGTTCTACATATTATGTAGGTATGTGTAAAAGAATAAAATGGTGGTCTGATCGTTGTATGGCGGAACGGATGTTTGTATAAAATGTTATTATGATGTATAATATTATTATGTTATGTTTACAATACACGGCTGGACCGTCATAGATCTTTTTAAAATATTCAACTCTTGACATTATTGTAAAATCCTATCATTATAATATTTATATATAATATGTATTATGTGCAGTGATGTAGTATGTACCAGTAACGTTGTAACTGAAATTGTATATTAACTTACACTGTGCACGCTGCACATACATACAAACACATATTATTATACCTGTAATCATACACATAATAATATTTTAACTGTCAGGCCGCGGCGAAGTGGACGAGTGGGAATTACTCTCGGAGGACTGTTATCGGGTTCATAATAATAGATATATCTAATAAGAGTATAATAATATAAAATATATTTTGAATAGATAAAAATTCGGAGACGATTATTCACGATTTATCCCCATCGGTTCGTCACTTTCATCTACGACGTCACCTTCATTGTAGAAGTTGCTCGTTGTGTCATCATTAATCTCATCTTCTCCATCGGAATTAGTCAGATCGATGTAAATTATTGATGGGTCTGAAGGGTAACTAGTGAATTTATATGTAGGCACTCTGCTTCCATTCTGCCCTGAGAAGAAACCGCGAGCAACTGTATGCAAACATCCACATACTTCTACTTCACGTCGACCATTCGAATAGCGACGGCGACGGCGACGGCTCATGCCTCTGCCATTTTCTGCACCATTGCTCGCTTCCTCCCGAGTTGCCATCGAATCGTTGTTTCCAGTGTTGTTAGACATCTGTGATACAATATCATATAAACATGCTATCAGTACCGGATTTGAAAAGGTGGAGGGAAGGAATTTTAGTTTCATTTGCATGTACGAGGACATTTGGACATTTATTTTGAATAGCGAAAAACACCAATTATTGCATTTATAAAAGCTAAGAATTCCTGAACCTAACTCAAGGAAATAATATTACGCATTCATCATTAGCCATTACCTATCTAAATGTGTATTGGCATAGTTTTTAGTAATAATGCGTTTTATTGTATAGGTAATATTATACCGTATTATTCGTATATACAACGTATTATTACTATATAATGTAACAAATAATGTGTAAGAACTAAGAACACACAACTAGAACATTACATTGAATAACGGCCCAATGACAACGCCGTTTATGGTATAAATTGAAGATTATAGATGATTCAGATAATATACGATCTTACTTATTAAAATAAGGCTAGAACATGAGCGTATGTAATTTATACATCTGAACATTTTTACATTTTGTAAGTTTGTAATATGCCCCACATAAGTTTTTTTACAAAGGCATTATGTAATTTGAGCAACTCTAAAACAATTAAAATAGAATTTTTTTTTATAATTTATTCATCAATCAAATTTATTTTAATAGATAAATTTCAAAAAATATAATAAAATGTACTAAAAGTAAAAATTAAAAAATGTATGCTACTTTTTGAAATAATTGTAGGTACACAACAAATAAGTAATATTATTTCAGTTGACTAATAATAAAACAATATTATGTTGAAATTAGAAATATTATTTTGTTATTAATTCACATCTTATGTGGCAAAATTGACTCGAGCCTTGTAAATGTATCAGCTAAATTCCAATAACAATTGATATTGAAAGTGTGGTGATGATAATAATAATATGTACCATTTCAATGGTTCAACCCCCCCTCCCCCCGGAATGTCTGGCTAAGGCCTAGATTTTCATATTTTATTATATAATATAACATATTTTTTATACTCAACCACCCCCCCCCCCCTAAATATTTTTCTAGCGACGGTCTTGTATCACGTCATGAAACAAACGACTGTAAATGTATGACTATTAGGACATATGAAATAATGCACATGCGTAAAGTTTAAAAATCAATTTATTAGTACAATCACAGGCGTTTGCTTAATTTGTTATTCTAACATAATAATTTATTACGGTAAGAAGATGACTTAACTCATTATATTATTATTTAAAATAATATTTTTTTTCGATTCGGATCAAACAAAGTTTTATTCTTACATACTCATTTGGATAGGTAGTGAAAACGTTTAAAATATTTATGTTGCTCGTACTATTTGATAGACAGACAGTTTTATCTAAATGTGAATTTATAAAGAGTTGATTATTTTTATTTTGGTATCGATTTTCTCGTAAATCTTAATAGTGGTTTATCGTCTATTCTAAAGCTGCAATTAAAAATCTATTTGAAATTGACAGACTAATTAGGCCACGGAAATATTTTAAAAATCCTACCAACGACGACAAAAATATTAATTTTTGTATGGGTATCTGCAGTTTGTGAATAAATCGATTTTTATAGCTTTAGCGTCGATGGATAAGATAAGATAACCTTATTATAAGAAATCGAAAAATGTTTTTAACTCATTAAATATACTATTATATATAATCGTTTACTTCCATAGTATCAATATTTTATGGAGGTATGTGATATGGACCAATGTACATTTTTCATTCAAAACACCTACCAATAATATTTAGCGACAATGTTTTTAATTTAAAAATTTCAACATCATAAAACAGATCCAATTTATTAAATTAAAAATGGTACTGTCCTTATTAAGCCCGGATTTACCCTATTATACAGTACCTACATATAATAATTGTTATACATAAAGCTTAAAAATTAATTATTTTTGAAAGTTTTCGATAATTTAATCTAAAAAGACAAATTATAAACTTTAAACTTTGAACTGTAAAAAAAATATTGCAAGCATATTAAGTTTAATTATAAACTAATGATATAATATTACGAATAACCTTATGTGATCTATATACTAATTAAAAAATGTAGATTCACTTCTTTTAAACTGAGTTAAGTTAATATTTTTTTCCGTATTAACTTTTCACTTAACTTGAGATGATTATTTTCACATTAACTTGCCCACCTTTGAATGCGTGGTAAATATGAATGTATGATAAGTGATAACATATATTCATTATATTGATGATTGATTTTTCTCATTTAACTGTTCGTCATTACTGTACATTTTATATTCGTCATTTAAAATAGAGAAAATAGAGATATTTAAATACACAAAGTCAGTGAACAGATTCAGATATTGCTAGAAAGTGATAGAAAGATAAGTATATTACATTTGATGTTCGACTTACAGATGGTATGATTTATTTCTCTTCTATTTCTATTATAATTTATAACATAATATCTATTGTACCTATTGTATACATATTACATAATATTTTACGACCAATTTTTAGGTCACTTATTCATCATAATATGCTGAATTTTATATTGTATATATTTTCATTCGGTCATTTATATTATATTACCTAATCGTTTACATGACGTGAATCGTACATATTTATTGTGTTCTTTAGGAGATTTGACATCAAACTAAATAATTATAATATATTTATTATTTATAAACAAGTATAAATTTATACGTGTAGGTAAATCACGATTAGTTAGAATAATATATTAACATAATAATATTACGGCCCAAGTACCAACAATAGTGAATAACATGATAAAACGGGAGTTTTATAATAATAATATGTATGTACTATGCTTGTAATATGAATTATTAAAATAGTACTTTACACAGGTAATATTACGTAATATTCGATGAAGTAAACAAATAATCAAATATGTATTTTTCATTAATCGGAAACTATGCGGAATAGAACGGTATCAAAATGGTCAACAAATAACATATATTATATTTACAATTATACATTTTATGAGATTTTGGTCTTATCTAATAGTAAATTTGTTTTATTATTTTTTAAACAGAACCTACATAGTGATTTTATACTCGAAGAGTAATTTAACTTAATTTGTTTTTATTGTATAAGACAATCATAGGTAATTATCATTGTCGATGCTGAAGTTTTTTTGTTTGTACTATAGGTACTTCTACTAAAATTCTCAAAAATGGTACATATTTAATTATTGTGTAACCATAGGTTTTATTCATTTTGAAATGGTGAAGCATACTTTTAAATTTCTATTTGAAAAAACACATATATTTTAATAAATTTAAAAGTGTGTAAATCAAATGTTTAACCATAGGTAAATTATTTAAAATTTTTGTAGTGAATGTATATCGGTTAATATAGCGAAGAACAATATTGAGCGAGCTGACAACATTACAATACTTCCGATTCGTGAATGAAACAATTTCGGTTTTAAAACCGAGTTATTCATTAAACTATTCTTGAGTATTAATACTTAATATCATCATTAAAATATTATTATATAACATATAGTAATATTATTAGTTTATTATTTATTAATATTTCGTAGTTAAGTTTAACTATCATAATATTTTAAGGTCATTGAAACAGTACACGTGCAGATACATAATAGGTGGTCGGTAGTGGTAAATATATTGCATTTAATTTGTTTTATAGAACCGTTGTAGACAATAATAATACCCGATAAAGTCATGTCTACTGCTGTTCCCTTTTATTTATCATACTTGATAATGTATTATTAATTTTATATTCGAATGAAACAAAATGAGTTTCTATTTGTCTAATATTTTCCTTTCGCCTCAAAGATATAAACTCGAATACTTATAATCCCTTGTCATGAAGTATGCTATTATATATTATCGAAACACGACTGAACGACTCTACAGGGTATTATTACACACTATACTCGGATAACGGCCACGCTGAAGTGATTCGACCACCCACCCACATATGCAGTCTATTCAAATATGAAATATTGTTTTTCAGAAAGAAGGGCTTAGGGTCAGATTATAACATATAAATTCCGCTAGTACATTTTCTGAACAGAAAAAATAACTATAAATTTAACTGATTGGTACTAAATAAGTATAAATTAAACCGATAGTATACAAAAAATCAAATCCAAATATTTAAGAACAATTATACATACAAATATTTAATATGTAAATATGATAAAAAGTTAATAAATAAAAACTAAATTTTCTAATTATAATTATCTATTTGTTACTACTAATATTTCTCTTTAGACGCTAAATCGGAATAGAATATCAACTTTACAAAAGTAAATCTACCGTCTATCATAATTCATTATCTGTACGATAAAGTAATCAAAAAATCGAAACATTTTTTTTAACTCGTCGTATAATTAATTTTAGTCTTAAATGTGGAAGAAAATGTGTGTTATTAAAATAAATAGTTTTTGGCAAAAATGAATATCAGTGGAATTTACTTAAGAATAAAAAAGGTTTAATCGATGGAATTCATACTTGGCGATGTGATTAAAATTTCTGATAAGTCCACAAAAACTGCCCAGAAACAGACAGTTAACCCGAAAGAAATATATCATGTTATCATCGGTAGCGGGGTGACATATTTTATCGTTTAATATGATACACAAATAATGAGCAAACATTACAAAAAAGATTTATTTTCCGTGCCCCAGGGGATCACAAGGGTTTGTGTGACCACACCCTCACAAAATTACAAACATAGTAGGTAGTAAGAATAAAAATAATAATAAAAACATGTTTGCCGGTCGGTGAATAAGGCAGACGAAAACAGTATTATGTATATACATATATATATATATAGGTATATTTATAATATAAAAGAGCCGTGAGGAGCAAAAACCCACCTGCACTGTTGTTGGAATGTCGGATAGACCTCTGCTAGTTATTAACCTTCACTGCTGCAGTAGTAAGTTCTGCCAACCCCGTGAGATGTCTTCGTGTGCCGAATTGAGACTACGACTGCTGCAAATGGCTAGCACTGATACTGCTGCAGCTGCTGATGGAGTGAAACGC